AAGTTGAAACTACTTGAATATTAGTTTTCATAAGATTTCATTTTTTTGTAGCTGTATTAACTTTAGAACACTTATTACAGCTTATGTAATTATTTTAAATTATAAAAATTAATTTATATTATTGGCTAATTATAATCACATGATACTATTTGATTTAATAATTTAATAAAATATTATTATTTAAAATTAAATTCATATAAATGCAACTAATATTAATAATTATAATTTAAGCAGTAAATTTATTGACCAATTCTTGTAAATTCTATGCTCAAATTATGTAATTTCTTTGATCAAATCAATATAAATTCAGTATAAATTATGGTCAATCATACAAATGGTGCATTTTTGTGATATGGAATTGTGCATTTTCCTGTATCCTTATATATAGTTTAGATACATTATTTTTAAGAAAAAATTGTATAAATCTTATTAAAACATGATTTTTTATAGGGTCTAATTATAATAAAATTTTATTATTCAGTAACAATTCAATTTATTTATATCAAAGAATTTTTTTAATTATAAATGTTATATTTGGGGGACGAAGTCCCCCAGCAAATCGCATATTCTAGTTGTCTTTATTAAGATTGGTTTTGTTATTATAAAACTTTGAGAGTACACCGTCATTGACTGGGCTTCCCATGAGCGAAAGCTCGTTACTGATCCCACAAAATGTATATTCTTCAGTATCGAATATTGTTTTAAACACTTTCCGAAGTACACCAACATCCTCTAGTCTGGGATAAGCTATAGAGGCAACGACAACAAAAAAGTAGTTCAGAGTTAATCAATGCTTGAGACTCAAATGAAGAGAACATGCATACACAGTTAACTTATTAATTGAATTATCTTATCCAAAAGTTGTCTGATAATACTATAAAAGACATACCCGAACTTAGTACAACGCCACATATTCACCCGTTTGAATCATCTTAAGAAGTTCATCATTTCCAATTGGTTTAACATAGTAGAATATACCATGATCTTCTTGCCTGAGAGTATAATTAACTGTCCAGCTTCTCATTTCTCTTTTTGTGATTGTAGCTATAGAGAAAAATTAAAAATTAGTAAGAATGATGTAATGAAATATATAACTAACTAAACTAAGTATGACACCAAGTTTTTATCACGCTTCTTACTTTCCTCTTCCATGAAAGGTCTTTTTCTCTCAAGCTCTAATGGACAACAAGAAAACATATTCAATATTGTTAACAACAGAGAGAATGTACTGTATATCATCATTTCAGCTGCAAATTTGTAAAAAATTGAGAGACACTTACCAATGGTAGTTGCGATGACAACAACGATGTTGATGTTTTCTTCATCACTAAGATAATATTCATCTGGAAAATATTTTATAAACTTGCTTTGATTTGTCATAAATACACCTCCAAGGTTTTTAATATTGTCTTCAGTAGAATTAGGATTAAGTTTACTTTCATCAAAGTCAACTTTCCAAAGATTCAATTTGTCAGGTAACTTTTCATTATTTGAGATTAACTTCGCAAGTTGTCTAATTTTTAATTTCTCAAATGGAATTTTTTTACTACCAATTTTGAAAAATTTCTTATCGTCATTGTCATTTTTATTATTGTACACTTCCACCTGGAAAACGTAACTATTATCTAGACATAAACAATTGTACGATTCATTCGATTCAACCATTTCGTTTATATTTCTATAACGATAAATGATATTTTAGTTTATAGAAAAAGAAGTTGTAATAAGATATTTTAGTTTTTAGAGAAAAAAGTTTTGAGAAAACTAGAGAGTTGAGGTATATAAATACCTTTTTGGATATATCGTAACTATAGATTCTTACATAAACTTTAGTAAACTTTTTGTGGCAAATAATTTATCAGTACATGGAAAAAATTGATTAAATCAGGGTATTCATATTTAAAAAAGGGTGAATAATTTTTAGGTCGTGACTAAGGGATTGACAAATTGGATTTTTTTTTTAATGCATTTTTTTTATTATACGGCTAAGTTTTTTTATTGCAGGATATACGTTTTTAAAGTTAGAAAATTTGGTCAGTATGTTCGTATTAATACTAAATAATACTAAATAAATTAAAATTTTTTTTTGTTCCCCTGTTTTGCAATAATGATGAGCTCACTCACATTAGATTGCAGTAGTTTATTTAGTTAATAAATTTTTTAATAATAATTTTTTTTACAATTGATTGGATTTGATAAAAAAAACTAGCGAGTAATCTTTTATCCAGTACCCATGGTTACATAATTGTGTGATCAGTATCATGAGTTATCTGATTGAAATCATACACATTACACATAACATTAATCAAACAGTTATAATTTCAAATAGTTAATTGACTAAAGTAAATATAGATTTAATTATAATTCATAATAAATATTAGAAGTGTTTGATAAATTATAATATTTGTATTTATATTAAAATAATAAAATAAGTAAATTTATGAAATTTCTTATTGCCCAAATCAATTAAAATAAGTTTCTATTTTTAACAGTTTGTTTAATAATCAAATTATTCAAATAATTAATAATTTTACTGTATATTTATGTAATATATTGAATACTGATTATTAAAGTATTGTATTTTAATATAAATGTAATAAAATTATTAAAATAAAATTGAGAAATTTAATTGTAGATTTATTGATTTATATATTTTGTACACTAATAAGTATTTTAGTTTTATTTTTTTTTTTTACTAGTAAATAATAGATAAATATATTATGAAAATAGGTGGGATTTGTGTTAGATATGGATTCCAATCGTTGATATTCTAGGATTACATCAGGATCAACCATGAAAGCAGACATATCAAGATGTGATATATCAACATTATTCCAGTTAGAACATCTACTAAGTGCAACATAAGCTTGACCAGTTGAGAATATACTTCCATCCAAGGCAAGAGAGCTTCTGAAAATAATTATATAGGATCTATAAGCGTACCATGTGATTGCTATGAAAAAATATTTAGTTAAGTGAAATTTATCCGATCTGCTTGTTTTACAATGCATTTTGTTTATAAATATTACGAAATTTGTTTGTAAAAAGATCGAAAATGAGTTTTCCTTTTTAATTTATTGATCGACCTAATGAATCTCAGTATTAAGAAATTTTCTGTTTCTTGATTTTAAGATTCAAGTCTGATTAATAGTATTTTAGCATGTATAATTTTAGTGTGTATTTTAGTGTGTATAAATCTTAAGAATCAAAGTAGTATGATCGGCAGCATATATAGTATGTGAAAAGTTTCTTAGCTTTTTTTAATATAAATAATTTTTTGGTGAGATATGATTTTTTTGATATACTTAAAATATAAATCATAGTATTTTTGCTTTAATTGGAATTTATTGTAAAGAAAATATGTAAATACATTATTTCATGAAATAAGAAAAAGTATAAAACAAAAAATAAAAATTAACAGAATTATAGAAAGTATATCTTATTAATAAAGGAAAATAAGTTTTATATAATTATTTTGACCTCTGATAGCTTTTTTTGTTTATTATTGATTTTTTTATGATCTGGTTAAAAAAAAATATATATATATTTTAAAAATTGAAAAAGAGAATAATAAATGTTATTATTTAAGTTTCACTAGAGGTTTCATTTTGGGTCATGGTTGGAAGGGGGTTTTCTTGTAATGCAGATGCTAGTGATTGGCTTGAGTCTTCCTGGTGGGTGATAGCTGTGAAAGTGTAACACGACCTCTTTTTGAACATGGTGTAGATCCTCTTGGCGTACGAGGTGTGTTCCTTGAACTTGTTGATTTTTGGTTCAATCATGGTAGATTAATAGATTGAGCAGATGTATTAGGTCAGTTACTAGAAATTAGTGATATATCATCTAATTTCAAGATATGTTTCCCAGGTGTAGTTTCTTCACTTGTACTA